GTTACAAAAAGAGACTTACTATCTGTATGTACAGAAGATCACTTGTCCCAGCGCGTGGTGCGGGAGACAGTCTTGATCGACGCGGAGACCTCGGCTGTGGTGACGACAGACGTGCTCGTGGACGACCTCTTCAACGGAGCCGTCTTCGAGCCGCCCTTACCAGCGCCAGGTCTCGCGAAAGAGGGCGGCTTAGCCGGCTTTCTCCCCTTGCCCCCGCGTCTGTTGGCGGGGCGCTTCTTCTTTCCCTGCTCAAACCCCGACCCCAGACTGATCGTCGAAACAGAGGCGGCGGCCGCGGCTGCCTTAGCCTGCGCCTGCTCGCGCACCTTCGCAAAGTCGAATTCCCACTTCGCCCGTTCACACTCCGCCTCAGCCTCCGCTATCTGAAAAAGGATGCCCTCGAGGCAGTCCAAGTCTTCAGCTCGACCCGGGCACATGTTGTTGGGGTCGTCGCAGTAGGCGCTCCACGTCTTCTCCGCCAGGCGATGTTTCTGCAAAAGTCGCTGCGCCGAGATGTAGCGCAGCTCTGCCTCGAGTGCCGTCAGAAAAGAGGGGCGCTCGTCGAAGCGGGAGCGTTTGGTTTTAACGCTCCCATCATCTGGTTCAGGGGTTCCGTCCAGCTGTACCCCAGGGGTCGGTGAGGGGATCCCCTCAAACTGCTGCTCGAGCGCCAACTCCTCGCGGTTTTCCTCTTCGGACGCGAGCGAGAGGAGACGATCCCCGATCGTCACCGTGGGCTCATCACCGGGGGAGGGCGCCCTGGAGAAGTCAAGCCGATCCTGGACTCGGGGCCGACTGTTCGTGGGCCCGAGGCGGTCTGCGACCGGCACTCTGGGCTCCTGCACCTGTCCAGAAAGGCGCTCAGAAATGGGCCTCCGTTCGGAGAAAACCGTGGCGGTCCCCAGGCGCTGATGCACCGGGAGGCGGTCACCAACCGGGGGCGCCTTCTCCATGGCCGTGACGTCATCCTCCGCCGTCAGGAAGCGCTCCGGCGTGGGCTCGAAGTCGACTTCGTCCTCGTCCATGCGAAAGAAGGGGGAGTCGACCTCTGGCGCGACGCGGGGCGGAGCCGCGACCTGCATTGGCGGATTCGCGGCCGCGGTGGGGCGCGGAGTCGGGTAGAGAGGCGCCGGCCACGTGGCACCTTTGTCGGGGGAGCGGGACACGCGTCGAGCCGAAGTCGCGCCTCCTACAGTTGGCGAGGGGGGTTCCGAGCCCTCAGAAGAGCTCGAAGTGCTTCTGTCCCCCGAGAAGGACTCGCTGCGTGCGCGGCGAGAGAGGGGGGAGCGCTCGCGGCCGCGCGAATCGCGCGAGAGGCCGCGTCTGGGCGAGGGGGAGCGGCCGCGGAGTGGGCTGTCGATTCTCCCCAAGGGGGCCTGCGCCTGCCCTGGCCCCTTCCCCTGTTCGGAGCCGCCTCCCTGCTCCTTGCGACGGTAAACCCTGGGGATAATGACTGGGCCGCGCCCGTCGCGGCCCCGCGCCGCACGAGCTCCCTGTCTTCCTCCTCTGAATCTTCCTCTCCGGACCCTGGGCCTGGGCCCCCTCCGCGAGGCGGGGAAGGTTGATGACTGGTCGGGATCGCGCCGATGATGTCTCTGTCCTTCAGAAGCTCGTACATGGCCATCAGCAGGATCTCGGCCAGCGTGGTCGAGACGGGGGCGGCCGCGGCGACAAAGTCGCTCAGCAGGCTGATTATCTGCAGGTTGGCTTGGGGAGCCGGGTTAGCGGATAGCCGGGGAACGGCGGCCGGTAACCTCCCTGTGAAGCTGACGAACTGGGTGAAGGCGCTCCCGGTCAGCGCAGTGGGAAGCCGGGTCATGGCCTCCAGGAGCAACCGGGCGGTGTTCTCGCCCAGAGAAGCCGGCCCTCCTTCGCTCAATCGACCGGCCAAACTCAGGTCCCCGGCCAGAGCCAAAACCTGACTCGGAACAACCGACTCCGTTGGCTGCCCCTTCCGGTACCTCTTCCGACCAGACCCCCCGACTTCTTCCTCTGTCGGTCTCTTAGTTAGGGGGGGAGTGTGCCCGAGCAGCTGAGCTCCCCCGGTTTGACCCAGCCCCGGGCTCGGCGTCGCCTCCTTCTTCCTCCCTTGCAGGGACTTCTCCTTCTCGGGGCTCGCCGGCAGCTTCATTCCCGGGGTGTAACGCTCGAAGACGGCGGCCCGAGCCTGCGCGTCATACGCTATCATAGCCCAGACCTGCATCGCGCGCGGAGTGTGCGGCCGCGCGAGGGCCTGGAGCTCGTTGGGAAGCTGGAGACCGGGGAACCAGCGCGCCGCCCGCGTCCGATTTTGTCTTGACGGTGTAGCTCTGGTAGGGGGGAAGCGCTCCTGCCAGCATGCAGAAGTACTCCGAATAAAAGCTAACGGCGGGGGAGGATCCGCTCGTCCGGATGGGATAGTAACCGGGGGTTCCAAACATCCCTGCAGGGCTCTCGTGCGCGAGCAACGGGCGCAGCGTGTACTTGCCCTCCCCTTTCTCCGAGGCCCCCCCTTTCTGGTCCATGATGTGGTAGCGGACCGCCCGGAACTCTGCCTCTGAGATGAAGAACGGAGCCCGGAAGCCGTTTCCGTTCTCGTAGGCGCCCATGTACCGGACGTACGCCCAGCGCGTCCAGCCTTCCGTGAAGCGGCGCTGAATA